TTTTGACAAAGGCTTTCACATATTTCAATGCACAAAAAAGAGTCTCTTCATAATTAGTGTCCATGTATCTGGATACTTGAGTTAAAAAACAAAAGTGAAACTTGACCCTTAATTCACATCATTAAAAAAGTAATAAAAAGATCATACATAAATGTGCAATCAAAACTATAAAATTTCTAAAAACACTTAAGAAAAATTCTTAGAAATTTTCTATCCACTGACATCTTCTGACTGGTTCATTGGCTGTAAATCTTCAACTGTCTGCTGAATTTGAAGTTAAACCCTGTCTCTGCCCCTTATTGCAGTAGTCTTGATAGCTACTACAAAACTCCTGAATGAAGCCTCTTTTTAAAATCATTTTTAGATGTGTCAGATTAGTTTTCTCTTTAACACTATATAACAATAAATATAACTCCATTCAAATATATTATTGTAATTTTTTGCCTTCCTCAGAAAAATCAAATGTCAGTTAGTACTTGCAGGTTAATTTTTAAATTCTACTATAAAGATACATTCTCTAGTCCTACGTGTTTCACTTTTCACTCTCAAAAAATTTAGGAAAACAAATTAGTGTAATATTAGAATAAGTGCTCTGAGAAGTCTGTAGAAATAAACCTGTTTAACCTTGTTCAGCCCATGTTGCCATAGCCTCCAAACCCTATTTTTTGGGGAGAGGAGAGCTAGACAGTAAACATTATTGACATCACATTAAATTGTTTTGTGGATATCTTTGTAGAAACTGTAACTTTCCTAATGTCGAATGTTTAACACTACTTGTTTTTATAAACTTGGAATACACATCCTGATAACTGAAAATCTTACTCCAAGTAATTAAGGAATGATCTATTCTGGGAATTCAGTGTTACAAGCAGAAATAAAATATCAATAGAATAAAGTCATGTTAAAAACTAATTGTGTGTAGTATATCTTACTTAAAATATGTTTTCTTCACAGAAAAATATAAAATTATATCATTTTTGACAGATCAAAGTTAGTATGTATTCTATTCTACGTAATTCAAATCAACATTCAAAATTTTCTCTGAGTAATGGCAGCCTTAATAAATTAACTACCGATAACAAAATATATAAATAGAAAAGAAAAACAGAAAAAGAAATTTTAAGTGGAGATGCCAATTTTAAATAGTATAGACCAAATACACCGATTTTTAAATATGTTGTTAGTTTCATTAATTTATAGTTATTTCTTATTTCTAATAATGTCACTCAGATCCAGATGGTTCCTTTTAGGACATAAATTCTCTTATGAGATGTGCATCACTCATCTTGTTAAATTTTAAACAGAAATTTTTGCTTTTTAACCATAGAATTTGAGCAACACTGCAGCACTAGAACATATCAGCTTGTACTGCCTTATTGTAGAATTAAAGCTGACAGGTTTCGGGAGGATTACCTCAGCAGAGAGAGTGTTCCCCAGTTAGGCCAGACATGCTGCCATACACAACTATGTGGGGAGTTGGAAGTTTCTTCTTGAGAGGTGTGATCCTTGACCTATACCTGGGACAAGGCTTTTGACTCTGCTGCATGAACTAATCCAAGGATGAGTCCCAGAAGGTAAAAGAAAGAGCTTTAACTTAAACCTACAGTATGCATTCTAGGGAGTGTTGGCTTTTGTCTAGTTTTCTGTCAGTTTCATATCAGTTACAGTTCATGGAAATTCTGTCAGTTTCATGTTAGTTACAAGTCCTAGGAAATTTCTTAACCTTTGGCTCAGTAATTTTTCATTCTTCTCTATATCTAAGCTAGCTAACCTGCTTCAGTATCCCCTTATTATAATATATTCCTTTAAGCATATAAATAAAATAGATGAGATTTGCTTTAAAAGCTCTAATCTTGTACCTTTTTGTATGATAAGTGCAAATATTTGCAAATACAAAAGAAACATCATTTGAGTGAATCAAAATAACTCTGTCCCCTTTTGTGTAAAATAGTTCAAAGTATTAAAATTCTAATCGAGCCTTTTAGAATGTCAACTTTTAGGAAGGAAGAAATAATCAACAAGGGATTTTTTTTCAAACTGGGATAGCTTTACCCTCTCCCTGAACAATAGGAAGTCAAAATGGGAAATCATGTTCAAAATCAGATGGGGATTCTGAACAGAGAACTCTTAAATTTGATGTATTTGTTTTTTCATTTGTTCATTCCATCTGCAATAAATGGTTTGACTTGGTTTATTCATCAAAGTGTCTTTCCTTAGAGTTATCTTGCGTGAGATGTGCTTTTACTACGAGATCGTTTATTCCTAGAGAGCCAGTTTGCAGTCTAAATACTGTTTTACAATGTTCTTTGCTCTCCTTTAGCCTGCTCATTTAAAAAGACCCTATTACCTCAGTTATTGGGGTGAACGACAGGAAAGCCTTAGTGAGATGAGGCAGATATAACTAAACAGCTATAAGAGGTTAGAATCAGATGTTTAAGAAGTGTCAGTGGAGCAAACATTTTTCTTTGAACCTAGGTCAATTATGGGTGATTCAAAGGGGTAATAAAACCGTATATATGCTAACCCAGTACATTTCTTAGGTTCAAAAGAAGAAATGTGTTCTGAGCACCAAAAACCCTTTTGAATGTGATGTGCAGGCATCAGGAATGGAAGAAGACTCAAAGTATAGACTTTAAAGGAAACACAAATTTTCTGGTGGGTCTGTAGCTATATTATAAAGGGTAAAAGATGATCAGCCTCCAGATAATAGTAGAATAAATGCTTGCAGTTTTGGAGAGTGCTTTAGAAAGTAGCATTTCTTTCTGATATGAAACTAGAATTATTCCATAAAGTCACATATAAATATATTAAGGAGAAGTTAAATGTAAAGCCAAATAAAGTTTCTCATTTAAAAAATATGTTTTATTTATAATTGCCACTTATCATACAAATTTATGTAATGTTTTGATGCCTTAATATGTCGTATAATGACAAAATTAGAGGAAGTAATTAATTTAGACATTCATCATTCTTTGTTGAATAACATTGAAAATCTTCTCCTCTAGCTATCTTAAGATATACACTATATTGTTATTTGTTATAGGCACCCTACTGTGTAATCAAACACCAGAACTTAGCCCTTTCATCGAATTATAAATTTGACTTGTTGACCAACCCCTTCTGAAGCCTCCACTCCAGCTTTCCTCCCCAGACTCTAGTAATAACTATTCTGTTCTCTACTTCTATGAAATCAATTTGCTTAGATTCCACAGATGATTGAAACCTTGAGTTGTTTGTCTTTCTTTACCTGGCTGATTTTACTTACCATAATGTCCCCCAGTTCCATCCACGTTACCACAAATGCTAGGATTTCATTTTGCTTTAGGGTTTAAAAGTAATTCTTTATCTCTCTATATAAAAATTTACTTCTAGGTGAACATTTAGGTTGATTCCATATCTTGGATATTGTGAGTAGTGCTTCAATAAATATGGGAATACAAATATCTTTTCTTTCTTATTATTATAAAGATGTGGGGGTACAAATACCTTTTCAACATACTGTTTTAATGTTTGTGTGTGTGAGGGGGAGGTATATACATATAAGGATTGCTGGATTATACAATAGTTGAGAAATCTCTTTTCAGTTCTTTTGTTCATTTTAAATATTGTATTACTTGCTTTTATTTTTGCTTTAGATTTGTTTCAGGTCTTTATATATTTTGAATAAGAACGCCCTTATAGATGCATAGTTTACAATTATATTCTCCCATTCTGTGGTTCGTCTCTTCACTGTATTGTTTTCTTTGCTGTGCAGAAGTAGTAACTTATTACCTAACAATACTAAACATGACTATATATAAACTAAATTTATTAATTAAAATGCATAAAGTGACTAAATGGTTTAATAAATGCAAAGCCCAACTATATACTGCCTACAAGAAGTTAATTTCACCTGTAAAGACATTCATATACTGAAAATGAAAAGATGGAAAAAGATATTCTATGATAATGAGTGGGTGTAGTTATATTTCTATCAGATAAAAAAATTGTAAGTCAAAAATAATTTTTAAAAAACTTACAATAAAGCTATCATTTCATCATAAAGAGAGTGATACAGCAGGAGAATCTAGCAATCACAACTACATATGTACCCTACAAGGAAGCATCTATCCAGATTTGTAAAGAAAATATTAATAGGCTTAAACAGACTGGCTGCAATATAATAATAGTAAAGAATTTCACCACTCCACTTTCAACAATGGATATATCATCCAGACCAAAAAAGTGAACAAACATCAGAGTTAAACTCACTCTAGATAGAAAAGGCATAACAGACATTTACAGAGCCTTTTACCCAAAACCTGAGGAATACACGCTCACCTGAATGGACTGTTTTCCAGGATGGCCAATAAAGAAGGGCAAAAAACAAGTTTTAACAATTTTTTAATTTAAATTTGTTTGTTTGCTTGTTTGTGTTTCGGTTTTTGGTTTTTTTGAGTTGAAGTCTGACTCTGTCGCCCAGACTGGAGTGCAGTGGCCGCTCCCGGCCACCGCAGCCTCGACCTGCTGGGCTCCAGCGATCCTTCCGCCTCAGCCTTTCGAGTAGCCGGAATTACAGGCATGCGCTGCCACGCCCAGCTGATTTTTTGATTTATTGTAGAGATGAGGTCTCGCCAAGTTGCCCAGGTGGGTCTTGAACCCGCGGGCTCAGGCAATCCACTCACCTCAGCCTCCCAAAGGCGTGGTATTACAGGCTGAGCCACCAAGCCCGGCTTTTTAATTAAAATTTTATCAATTATCTTTTTTACTCACAGTGAAATAAAATTAGAAATCATCTCTTTATATGCATATTTTATGCTAATACATCAAAATTTAAATTGAATAAGATGAACTTTCTTTAACAGTATAAATTTAATTCAGTTTTTTACCAGTTCGTTGTTTCTTGCATAATAAAGGTCGGATTTGTGAACAAAACATAGAGCAATGACATGCTGACATGTTTAAGGAAATTCTTAGCATGTTTTCACTTCCTTGCAATAAAATTGTGTTTTCTTCTTTAGAATAAAAGCTTGAAAAACAAACTCTTGTCAGGAAACAAGCTGTGTGGCATTCATGCAGAAGAGGTGAGTAATTTTTTTCTTCTTCTAGCTTTAACTAGATGTAAACAATATTACTGCCAGGTTGTTTTTTGTTTTGTTTTGTTTTGTTTTTAACCCAGACATCTGGTAATTGTTTTTTCCCTTAAGGCATAAGCAAACTTTAAAATATGAAAATAAAACACATTTTAAACTTTTGAATATCTTTGAGTGTTTTAACATTGTATAGCCAAAAGGTAAAAAGATAAATTTTAACAAAGGTAGCTAAATGTTACTTTCATAAATTGTTTTTCTGGATTCCTTTCTTAAGTGGTATATCAGAATTTTCTTAATATTGAATTCCTGGATGTCCAGGAATTTTTCTTTTCTTTTTTGTTCTTTCTTTTTGTTGCATTTATATGATATATGGAAAGTTTTACATTGGCAAATGACCGTTAGAGTGAATATTACGGGATTAATCACAAACCTCACAAAATAAATTTATTCATTTGTTCTATTAGTTGTGCAGTATAGTTGTCTCATGCATTTGTCATGGGAAAAGAAATTATTCTGGTTAATACAGGTTTAACTAACATATCCGATTTCCTGTGCTTCCCATCTTCAAATCCATCTACTCTTTTTTTTTTTTTTTTTGAGTTGGAGTCTCACTCGGTCGCCCAGACTGGAGTGCAGTGGCTGCTCCCGGCCACCGCAGCCTCGCCTGCTGGGCTCCGGCAATCCTTCCACCTCAGCCTTCCAAGTAGCTGGAATTACAGGCATGCGCTACCACGCCCGGCTGATTTTTTTATTTATTGTCTCCCAAAGGCGCGGGATTATAGGCTGAGCCACCGAGCCCGGCTAAATCCATCTATTCTTATGATTCCCTATATAGTCTACAAATTTAGTTCACAATAAGTAATTCTTAGTAATAGCAATGAAATAATACTGATGATGTCACAATAAATGACTGCTTATATTTCAAGGAAAAAAAGTTACATCTTCTACAAAGCAAATTCAAAGATGTATTAGACATACAAGAAGTTTATTTAAAGAATACTCTGTAAATGTTAAGGGACAGTCATAAATGGCTTCATACCATGAAAATATTGAAAGCATATGAAGGAAGAGGGAAATAAGAAGGGTTAAGTACAATGAAAAAAGTGGCTTACACAAGTTAAAAGTTTAATCCTTTTCCCATAGCAATCTAAAAATAAGTCAAAGAGCTTCTAAAACAGCCCTATTGTCTTTTAAATATAGAATCACCCCTGGTTCTAAAATCAGTGTTTCTGTCACTATCATCTTCCAGCAGCAGAGAAAGGGGAGATAAATAACTTGGGGAAGAACAAGCATTTTGGTGAAGCACAAACATTGCTTCTTTTTCTTTTCTTTCTTTTTCTTTTTTTTTGAGTTGGAGGCTCACTCTGTTGCCCAGGCTGGAGTGCAGCCGCAAGCTCATGGCCACCACAGCCTGGACCTGCTAGGCTCAGGTGATCCTTCCTCCTCAGCCTTCCAAGTAGCTGGAACTACTTGGGAGCGCTACCATGCTCGGTTAACAAGCATTGCTCTTTAGCAGTTTAACTAGAGAATAGTGTCATATATCTCGTAGTACTCTATTTCCTGAAAACTCAGTCATGTGCCTAGGCAAGTTGAAGGAAGGCTAGAAGTGTCATTAGGTCAGTCCTATTGTGTGTAGCTTGCACTTGGGATCTCTTTTGTTTAAAAAAAAAATGAGGCTACTCCTTGATAAACATGTAAAAATCATTATCACAATGACTATCATTAAACTCTATCATACAATACAATCCATCTTATATTTTCAATAATATTGGGTATGAAATGAATCAAAAATTTTAAAACATAGAAGCTGAAAATGGATACTCCATTAGATGTATAATCAGACTAAATGACCTGTAGATCTGATCCAGTGTAGTATTTCATTTCATTGCATTTTTCCAATTGGACAGAAATAGACTTGTACATAGTTTGTTTCCTATGGTTCTAGAAGTAGTACAAATGTGGTATGTGCGGGTATTGTATTACCACTGATAGAAGCTAGATTCTGAGATGGTCCACATGTTCATAGGGTCTCTACAACATTTGTGGACATGAAAGAGAAGAAGCTCTCTGCAGAAAGTATCTGTAGCATTTAGAAAAAAAAATTAAAGGTAAGCCAGGCATGGTGGTACATGCCTGCATTCCTAGCTACTGAGGGAGACTGAACTGGGTGAACACTTTGAGTCCAGGAATTTGAGGCCATCTTGAACTATGATTGTGCCACTGCACTTTAAGTGACTGGATGACAAAACAAAACTCTTTTTCTTAAATCATAATTAGCTAATTAGAAAAAAGTTGGACCACTGCTATATCAGTGACAGTAGACCTTTGGTATTCATGGATAAACAAAATATTCACACTTCAAAAATGCCCAATGATTTGCCAATGTTTTAATTTGCCATGATACAAAATAAACAAAGGAAGCTACTACAATGGCTATCTACTGTAGTCATCACCATTACTCCCTGAAAGAAATGCTGGTTGAACAGGAAAATGGAGAAAGAAAAAAATCTCAGAATAAGAGATCATCTCCTAAATGGGATAAAACACCAAGCTAAGCTGTTCATCAAGGTCGCCTTCTTCTTCATCTTCTTCTCCAGCTTCATCTTATTGTCATCATCTTCATCGTTATTAAACTTTAATTTTTCTGTAGATTGGTGAAAACTTTATGACTCACAGGCACCATTTCAAACTGAATTTGAAATCACGAAGGTAGAAAAATACAATTATGAAATTTCCCAATGTAGTAATATTTTCATTGTTTGAAGGTTATGTTTTTGATCATTTTCAAGTTTCAAAATGTCACTGACAGACTGAAATGAAACAGTCAACGTGTGACTTGGGTTTCAGATCGACCACATTATAAAAATGATGCACTGACTCAGAATGCAATTATTCCTTGCATAACCTTTCATCAAGTCCTTAGAAAGGATTCCGCTTTTTAACACACTGAAATTAGGAGAGGACTGGAATGTGCAATGCATAAAAGAAATGGATAACTGTGAGGAAAACATCCAAATATTATTTTTATATTTTGATCAAACTCAAGAAATCTAGCCATCAATGGTTACTAAATGCAGGGAAAAAAAGACATCTGGTTTTATTGTGATTCCTGAATGAATCACTGAATAATATAGTAATTGATGTATTAATAATAATTCCAAGTTATGAAGACAATTTTAAACTATATTTTGTGCATTCAGTATAATTATACATTAAAAATGAACTCTTCACATGGTTAAAATGAATCATTTCTAGCACTTGAAAGAGCATCTATTATGTGGGAGAATAGATGTGCAGTTGGGCAAATCATGTGTACCATATGCAATAGTGATCTCCCATTCCCCATTGATACTCATCAGCACTAGCTTGAAGGAAAAAAAAGAATAAAGAAAATCTGTTTTTCTGAGACATGGTCTATCCTGGTTGTAAATGAGTCTGAGACAGCAGCTTGGAACAGCAGGGAGAAAATGCCAATCAACTGTGCATTTGAAATTGTGTGATTTAACATAAACTGTCCTTTACTGAAATCAGTAGAACAAAATAATAATTGCCTTGTAAGCCAGAATATCTTAGAGAGTAAATTAATATAATAAGAAAGAGATGCTGTGTCTGAAATATCATTATTTTAGGTAACTCGGGAAATGTTCTACGGGAAGGGGCAGAGAAGTAGTTAATGTAATTTTGAAGTAGAAGTATGAATTCAAGGCTCTGAGGGTTCAAGGATGAGTTTTTATTCTTATGAGCTATTGACAGTTATACACACACAATGAGGTCTTTTTGCCTTTTTATGGTATCACACACGTCACATTCACTATCCATACAAAGAGAAAAAGAATGATTTTCTATGGAAATTGAAAACATTAAATATTTTATGAGGAATCACAAACTCCAGCTGCTTCTGTGCTTAGATTTAAATTGCCTTTTACAGAATTATTAATATACTACACTCTTAAGCCTCTTCTTCCTCCCTCTCTCCCTACTTTTCTTCCTTTCTTTCTCTTTTCCTCTCTCCCCACTTCCTCTTTATTTTTCCCCTTCCCTCCTCCTTTTTTGTTTCTTTTTTCTTTCTGTTTTCATTTCATTTTGCTTTACTTTTGTTCTCTCATTAATTCCTGATTCAGTAGGTGATGAAATGCAGGCGCCTCACCTTAGAGATGCCTGTGAAAAACCGTGTTTCCAATTTTGAAACTCGCATTAGGATCTTGCAGTGATCTGTCATTTACAACACTTTCAACTTTGTACCTTAATTGATGGAACTTACAGCATGGGACAATGACTTAAAAGCTATGGCTCCATTATAATACAGTCTCCCAATTTACAAGTCTACTTCATTACATATCTGAATGTGAGAAAAAAACTAAACAGTAAACTTAAAATTGTTTCAATGGAAAGACTCACACGCGCATTATATGCTTGAAAAATTATATTTTAACAATCTGGGTGAAATCTTTTTATTAAAGAAAACTTTCGTATCAACACAATTTACAAGGATATAATGGTCACATAAGAATCTTGTGTCTATTACCTACTAGAGTCAGACATTTTAAAAATGAAATTTTAACGAAATGTACTCTTCATACAGTACAATTTATCTTCTATATAGTTGATGCATCTGACCAATGTATAGATACAAGATATGGAATAGTTCTATCATCTTCAAAATTTCTATTTGATATTTTACACTCAATCTCGACCTCCAATTCTCAGCTCCTGTCAACTACCAACCTTATTTCTGTCCCTGTTTGTTTGCCTATTTTAGAATATCGTGCAAATAGAATTACTTACATAAAATATAATTTCCAGTGACTGAAATCCTTCACATTGTAGAATGCTGTGAAATTCATACATATTGTTCTAGAATTCAGTACTTTATTCCTTTTCTTTTTTAATTCCTCTATAGTACTCAAGTATTCCACTTCATGAACATACCACAATTTATCTATTCAGCATATAATGGACATATGAGTTGTTTCCAGCTTTTAGCAATTATGAATTTAGATGCTATAAGCATTTGTGTATGCATTATCATTTCTCTTGAGTAAATATCTAGGAAGGAATGCAGTGTGATAAAGTGCACATATGTTTACCTCGATAGGGACACAATAAATGGTTTCCCAAAGTAAGGGTGATAATGTGTAATCCCATTCAACTATTTTTTAATCATCATATTTTCTTCTTGTGATCATGGTAATCCATTTTGTGTGTGTGGGTGTGTGTGCATGCACGCGTGTCTGTGTGTGTTTCTAGAGTAAAGAATCAAGACCTAGAATTTTAAATGTAGAAATCCAATTAACTGAGGTCCTTATATTAGGATGTTGGAAATTGAGACTGTCCTAAAATATTGAAAATATATAATCATCATTCTGTGGCTTAAGAGACCATGATTAAATGTGATGACTAAACATGTTTGCTGATAAATATTTCTTTGCTATGGATTTTCATATTTGTGATATCCTTCTGAAAAAATACATTTTTTGGAATTGCAAACACCATTTACCTCATCATCTTAGCCTTGTAGCAGCTTTCTTTGTCTCCCATCACATTTACTTCCACTTAGGACACATACCACATTCAAAATTGTGCATATTTAATATTAAAAAATAAGTAATTTAAAATAAGCCATGAAAACTGAGACATACATATGCACAAATATGTCAAGCATCTGCTATTTGACTGGTGACCGTACTGGGAGACAGAAATTCTGTGTGTTTGGTTGTGGAGTGAGGGAAGAACAATAAGCAACGTTTTTCTTTATATAGTGTTTTTTTTTCTTTTTCCAGTTTTTTTAAGCATGTTTTTTTTTTTCCCCCTGCCAAGAATACGTGGATGTCTGATTCTCAAAGAAGAGTTTATACTTTTCTGTTTCGCTTTTGAACTACTTGGTCTCTGTTTTGCTTGGCTGAAGTGTTTCTTCTTGTGCAGTCTGAAAGAATTTTTATCTTCAAGTCTGAAAATATAAATGAATTAAGGCACTAATCTGTGTTTCTATTCCTGCAGTCAAAAAAAATCCAAGCCCAGCTGAAGGAGCTTCGTTATGGGAAGAAGGATTTATTATTTAAGGTGAGCAGTCTTCTCCCTTTCCCCTCCAACTAGTTAGCTCAATACCTAAACTATCAAACATATTGTTTAGCTTAAATTTAGTTTATGGACTTTCTAAAGAATTGGAGTTGTATCTGACTGCATTGAAAATTTCAACTTTCATTTTCTTACCTACTTAATTAATGGTGATAAATGCAGATATTTTTTCCTAGGTGTATTCTTAGTCAAAGACAGGCCTCATTCCAAAGTGTAAGTTCAATTACACTAATTCAACAATGAGGAATCTTGTCTTTTAGAATATTTACATAAAGTAGAGCATACATATAGGTGGTTTCAATGGTGAAAGGAGGGCTTACAATTTTGATTTTTATAGATTTCTGTATAAATCTATTTATTATTAAGAATCATCAATTTAATAATTGTCAATTAATTTTGTTGTAGATTTTAATTTATATGATTATCAAATTCAAACCAATGAATGGATAGGCAACTATTGCAACCTATGTACATGGAGATTGAATAATAATCTTGCAAAAATATCCAATTCTTAATTCCTGGAACCTCTGATTGTCAACTTATATTGCAAAGAGGACTTTGCCAATGTGATTAAGTTAAGGATGCTAAAATGGGAAGAGCATTCTTCTTACTTATGTGGGTCTTAAATATAATCACATGAGTCCTCATAAAATGAGTCTAAAAAGTTGAATGACGAATGCTATTTGATCAAAGATACAGGAAGAGAAAAATAATGAAAATGATTCTCCACTATAACCCCCAGAAGAAACCAGTCATGCTAACAGCTTGATTTCAGTTCCACAAAATTTGTTTTAGACTTCTGACCTCCAGAAACGTAGAAGAATAAATGTGTGTTGTGTAAAGTCACTATGTTTGTGATAATTTGTTATAGCAGCAACAAAATAATTAATATAGATACTTTATTAATTCCTCCTTGAACAGGGGAAATAAAAAGGAAATGCTTATAATTGTTGTGGTTGTCGTATATCTACCTTGCCAAATGCAGTTGAGTGACAGATCGTGAAGCTCTTAGGAGTAGGAATAATATTTTGTTTAATAAAAATATATGTATGCTACTTTATAGGTAATACTTTTCTTTTAAAATATTTTTGTTTTAATGGTCAGACTGATCTTTGAATCTATGAAGAGATCTAAGATGCCAGTTTTAAATTGCATGGGAACAAATCTCCACTTTAATGATTGGGAAGTGATACAATTTTTCTAATGAGAATATTAAAAAAATGACATCTCTCTTTTTAGTACATTTACTTTTGGTTTAGAGTCATAGGAAAATGTTCTGATTATGTCAACCAGTATTTATTAACCACTCATTCCATGCAAGGCATGAATCAGATGTGTCATGGCTTTTGTTTGTCCATACGAGTGTCTCCTGCCATTTATTTGTCTTTGATTATTAGGAGACATTCTCCAGCACCCCAAGCAAATAGTGCATTAATTCTCACTGATACTTCCTAACCCTCATCTCCCAGCATTCTACTCATTTGATTGATAAATAGATAGGGTAAACTTGTGAAACCAAGGAATTTGTTTTCGACTTTCATGCCGAGGATCTTGAGCTCCGGCTATTTTAACTCTTACATTTAGCTTGATCTTACATTTTTGTAGTCACTAACAATATATAGTTTAAATAAACAGCAACAACAACGTGTATCTGTTTATTTGCAAATAGATTTCTAAGTCTATGTGAGTTGATTTGGCTTAATCAGGTCAGGAGTGTTATAAAACAAATCTTGTTTTCCGGGAGTTTATGAGCTATGGTATTAAGCCTAGAGTTGTATGCGATGACAAAAAAAAAAAAAATCCTTGAAACTTTTTGAGTCTTTTGAATTTTATCTCTCCTAGTGAAGTTTCAGGAAAAAAAGTTTGGGTAAGAAAATGAGAAGATCCAGTAATATCCAGTGATTTGTTTCTTTGTAACATGCCTTTGGAATGTAGATTAATAATCTATAAACTTTTAATATTACTTAGGTTAGGACTTGTTGACAATTTTTCTGACTTGAAAATAGAGTCTTACTATTTATAAACCTTGCAATTTCATGTCGCTATAAGAAGAGCACGCATATATGAAATAAGAACTGTATATGAAAGGAATGTGAAGTTGCATGAATTAGGATGCCTTCAGCATATGCCATCTCCCCAAAAGCTGTTTCACTGTAAGAATTTTTAACTCAAATAGCAAGATACCTGAAAGCATGGCAATTTCATAGTTTATTCAGTAGCTCAACAATGCAAACAACATTCATTTGTTTATTGTTTTTTATCCCCTACCATTCCATTACATAATCCTCAACTTTCTGACTTATTCTAACATTTTGTTCCTCATACTTTCATGATGACTGCTAAACATCTACATTCTGTGTCTTCATCTAACTGTGTACAAAGTCAAAGAGGAAAACAGTCACTATTTTTTATATAGGATGGACTTTTTTTTTTTTTGAGTTGGAGTCTCACTCTGTCGCCCAGACTGGAGTGCAGTGGCCGCTCCCGGCCACCGCAGCCTCGGCCTGCTGGGCTCCGGCCATCCTTCCGCCTCAGCCTTCCGAGTAGCCGGAATTACAGGCATGCGCCACCACGCCCAGCTGATTTTTTTGATTTATTGTAGAGATGAGGTCTCGCTACCCAGGCGGGTCTCGAACCCGCGGGCTCAGGCAATTCACTCACCTCAGCCTCCCAAAGGCGCGGGATTACAGGCTGAGCCACCGAGCCTGGCTAGGATGGACTTTTTAAAGGAAGTCTCCCAAAGAGAGGTCATGTATACACGCAAAAGTAAAACTTTAGCATGTTCAATTTCAATTGTGAAAGACTGTTTTTTTTAGAGATGTAAGTAATAGGAATGGTTGTTAGTGAGGGAATCAGGCAGCCAATAGTTTCTGCTATAACACATTAATTCACTCATTTTGATGGCAGTAAAGTTACCTATTTTGCCTACTACTCTGTTAACAGTGCACCACTTAACTCTTGAATAAACATATACTAGATAATTTGATAGATGATAGATTGATTGAAAGATAGATAGATAGATGATAAATATAAATGTGTCAGGAAGATAAACAGTAGAAGCTTGTGTACATTGCACTAAGGATATATGATCACAGACATTCACCCAGGCATCTTTAGAAATGAGTCTACAAATTATCTGCTATTATTTTGCTGAAATAAGTAGTAGCAGAATCTATTTCTAGTACTTTCCCCTTAGGATATGTTCAATTTTGAATATATTTGATGGTTTTTATTAAATGTGGACTTTGAAGAAGTAATGCTTACTGTTGAAGCATTTACATTTTATTCTAAAAATAATAGCATATTCTGACAATAGAAAGGCCTGATGATAAATTCAGCTCCCTTATTACTGCTTGAGAGTTACCTTTCGTTTGAGGAAGGCTTCCAGCTTTCTGTAAAGATTCTTCACCAAAGACCTAAACCTAACCTAACTTTTCATTGCTTATAGCTTGAGTTACCCTGTGTTCTCCTCTTAGATTCCATTTAGAGATGATAGTCTCTGGAATACCTACTACCCATTTGCTAATCTTTTTAAAGTTGACAAATGCACTTCTTTATTTTACAATTTTCTACATTTTATTTTTTCATTCTACAAAAAATTAAAAAATGTATCAAAAAGTATAAAGCCAAAAGAAAACACTAAAATCCTATCACTTAAAACAAATGCGAATAATATTTTGACATATCTAATATTTCTATCTATCTCCTTTTGCACAGGCTATATGTGCTTGGTGATTGGTATGTGTGTGCATTTATATGTGCATATATAAGTTACAATATATTATTGACAACCACAGGTTCCTAGACTTTCATAATTGAAATTTATATGAGGCCAAATGATTCCCAGACAAGGCTTTATTGGGGGCTTCTTTATTGGGGGCTTCTATAAGAAAGACAGCTCAGGAGGAAGAGTTCTCTGGCTGACTCCCCAAAGAGACCTTATTTATTAGACAAAGGAAGGGATGTACAACAAATAAAACGTATGTTAGCATGATTAGGGAGGGTTAATAAGGGCATGTGTATCGTATAGATGCATACTTTTTCACATGTCATATGTGCAAAAAAATGGTAGTTGAGTCCCTCCTGGGGTGGGATTTTGGTATTATAATGAAGGAAAAGTTATAATTGGACACTCTCTGTTCCTTGTGTTCATGGGGTGAGGGGCAGACAAGGAGTTGACACCCCAAGTACCAGGTTTATGGTGCAACATTGATGATATTAACAGGTTTTCAAGGTTGTCGTCTGTAGGGTGGCTCTCACTGGAGTGTTGTTGCAATGTCTGGTGGGTTAAACTAAGTGAGGGAGGCTGAGTCCTATCCTTGCTCTGTCTCAATATTAATATATCAATATATGTGATATATATATATATATATTCTTTTTAACATAATGTTAAAGCACAAAGGTAGCCTACGGTTTTCATTTTTAATCTAAATCTAAATGCATAATCTTCTATAATATGGATATGCCAAAGTTGAATTAACCTTTTATTTAACATGTAGGTATGTGTATATATATATATATATATATATATATATATATATATATATATATATATATTAATATGTACATATGTGCAATATGATTTTAATTGGCACTATGTTGAAAAATGTTTTCCTGTTTTTAATTTGATGTGTAGTTTTTATGAAATATGTATCTATAAGGTAGTTTTCTAAAATTATTGGAAAATGTTAATGTTATTGATATGTAGTACAGGTTATTTACCCTCCCATCAGTTCAGCAATGAGAAATGTTGACTTTATTTAAGATTTTTTATATGAGGTGTTCTCATTAAAGAAACAAAAATAAATAAGTAGGTAACTATATACATGAATAAATTCACTAAAACAATGGCAAACTGTGTTGTTTTAAGAGATTATAAAGTGAAAATGATTGTTCCAATTTTCCATAAACTTGATTATCAGGCAGTTTAAATACTTACAAGGTCAATCATTTTATTTTCTTTGTTTAATTTTGTTTTGGTTTTA